AATAACGGCTTGGCCGATCGTATCAAAAATCTAATCGACGCGAGTGCTTATCAAGTTTCATTGAGTGGTTTTTAAATTTTTAGAATCGAATCAACCGTTTTTCAGAAAACGTCGATGAAAGGTCTAATTTCACCAAACGTTAAAGAAACACTTCTCATTTTTCAAACTTTGATGAAATTGTAACATAAAATATCCATCAAACTATTTGTTGGAGGACCGTAATATTTTAGTTTGTTTCATTAGACTATGATATCTATCGCCAAAAAAAGTTTCATAAAATTCGCTAAAAAATTTTTGTTCTACACTTAATTACAAGAAAACGGTCCAGTAGATTTTTATCTAAAACTAATCAGTATCATTCCCAATATCTTTCGAACAGTTTTTGATTTTTTAAGATCGATTCAGGATTGTGAGCTAAAACGTGGACGAAAAGTTATACAATTTTATGCAAATTACTAAGAAACGGATCGTCCGATCACCGCACAAAACTAAGAAACTATAATCGAGATACATAAAATGGCTTTTAAATTTTTGAAATCAGTTCAGGCGTTTTTAGAGAAAACGCCGAAAGGTCTTAATTTTGACAAACGCCAAAAAACGCAACTAATTTTTACAAACTTTGACAAATTTTCAAAGTTAAACGAGTTGTTGTAAGGCCGTAATATTTTAGAATGATCTAGAAGACCATGATATCTAATGCTAAAAAAAATTAATAAAAATCGTCAAAAAAGAAAAAAATTAACAGTTAATAAGCCAAAATATGCAATAAATCAGTAGTATTTTTATAATATGGCAAAATATAAAGATCACACACTTTACTTTTTCGGAAATAAATAATTTAATTAGCGTTTCTTGGAACAAAATTGGTACTGTCAAAATACGCAAAGTTCAAAGGAAATCTAATGTGGACAAATAAATAGTAGTCATAAAATAACGGGGCTACTGAAATCTGGGGGTCTATGTGATTTCACATCATGAAGAAAAACTAAAATGTTAGCCCAGTATCTGACAGATCAGCTGCGCCCGACGGAGGGTTAAAATCGATTCAGTACTGCGGGCTAAAACGTGGACGAATTTTTTTCTGACTTTTCTGCTATTTACAAAGAAACGGCTTGGCTGATCGTCGCGCAAAGTTGATAAATGCTAGTCTTCATCGAGATACAGCAAATGGCTTTTAAATTTTTGAAATCGGTCCAGCCGTTTTTGAGAAAACGTCGATTTATTTCAAAAATCTTCAAGACACACGCACACATACATTTTCCAGGTTTGGTCTCATTCGATTCAGATTGGGTTGAAACGTTGAGAGAACATAAAATTTGGGAATTGATTTTTTTTATAAAAACAAACTTCTCCTTCGGGAAGTTAATAAATTGATTTTGAAAATTCGCGCGTAATGCGCCTCATGTACATTTGATCCATACTCTTCTTTTATCTATGATTTGATCTTCCATGTTTATATCTACGTCATGAGAGGTTATTGCTCGCTATGGCTCAATGGCTGTCATGGCTGTCATGGCTGTCATGGCTGTCATGGCTGTCATGGCTTGTCACTTTGTCATCTTGCCTAGACAAATAATAATATTAATTTTGCCTAGACAATATAATAATATAATAATTGGTCATCTTGTCAGTGCAATAATAACTAACATAGAATGTTAACTTATTCATTCGTTATTCATAGATAATAATTTTGGAAATAAAGGCGCTTATTATTAATTTAAATACTCAAAATATTATGTTTGATTGATAAAACAGTTTAAAGTTTACAATGGATGATAAATGCAACTCCTTATTAACCTGGTTTAGGTTGCTTGAACCAGATGCCCATCATTCTTCTCTATCCGACTTAACGGATGGTGTTGCTATGTCTCAAGTTTTAAGTCAAATTGATCCAGTTTTTTTCTCTCCTTCATGGGGCGAAAAAATTAAAACTAACGTAGAAAACAATTGGAGACTTAAGGTCAGCAATCTGAAAAAAGTTATTGAACGTGTAACTGATTATTGTACTGATGTTTTGAATCTTAATGTGCATGATTATGCCAAACCCGATGCTTTGAGAATAGCTGAGGGAGGCGATGTAGAAGAGTTGGCTCGCCTTCTACAACTCATATTGGGTTTGTCTTCAAAATTGAATTAAAAATTCCTTTAATCATTACCACTTGCATCATTCTTTAACTTATGATTTACATAAAATTTTAGGTTGTGCAGTCAACTGTGAAAACAAAGAAACTTACATAACTCAAATCATGGGTTTAGAAGAAGCTTGTCAGAGAAATATTATGTGCGCTATACAGGAACTAGAGGCAATGACACCCATTCGAGTAAAACGATCAAAAAGTCCAACAAATGATGTTGGTCTAATTAATGACAAGATTAGATTATTGGTAGAAGAAAGAGATATATTAGCTCAAAGATGCCATGATCTCGATCGACAAGTGTCTTGTCTTACAGATGAAAAACTTTCATTAGTGAATGATTTACAAAAGCTACAAAGTCAATATAAGTGTTCAGATACTGCTCCTTTAGGTATGTCCTTACATTTATTCAGACAACATCTCTTATTGATTATACAGTAGAGCCTTAATTAATCGGACTAATTGTTGTTGATACGTATTCGGATAATCGAAAATTTGGGTAATCGAATGTATGAAGAATTATGTTGTGTATTTATTAAAAATAAGGAATGCATACATAGATATCAAAGTAAATCATGTTTATTAAGAAATTTAAACTTTTTTATCTATGTACGAATATATTTTTTTTGCAAAATTCTAATTGTAAGTATGTATATACTAGAGATGGGCTTATCATATCTGAAGCCTGATCGGTTCGAATTTGGCTCCACTTCAGGGAGGAGTCGCACCGCTTAACAACTCCACGACTCTGACAACTTTGAAACCGAAATTCTCGACACAAATGTGTTCGATAGTGCATTGTTTATCTATCTATTGATTTGTCAAATTCCATTAATTATTTGAAATTTTTTATAAACAGTTCAAACATTTTTGTTGGTATTATTATAAAAAGTCACAATTTTAAGCACGGAGACCTACTAACAATTAGCTGGTAATTTATTTAATATATTATTTAATAATTTTTTGCTATAAAAAGTCTACTAGGCATCGCGTGACCAGAAAATTTATGAATAAATATCAATAAGACATTTTTTCTAAAAAATTCACAGATAAATGACGTGTTGTAAAATTTTTCGGTCAACCAGATGATCGACTCAATGACTCGTAATTTTAGCAGTGTTGACCAAAGTAAAAACGCAAAACTTGAGAATTAAATGCTATTTAATTTTTTTTTTTTGATGATAAAAATTATTATTAATTATTTGGATTAATTTTATATAAAAATAATGTAGTAAACTTGAGACAAAACATCATAAAATATTTTCACCAAATGATAATACTTGTGCTTTCTAAATTTTTCTTCTGCTATTTTCATTCGAGAATTAATATTATATTGGGTAGTTCGATTAGCATATTATTACTTTTACACAATTGTATAACTGTGTAAAAGAAATAATATAATACTAAATATTTCTGCTGCTTAAATATTATTGATATCACTGATCAATTTTGCACTCTAAAATATTGTTATTTCAGGCTATAGAAAAACCAGATTAAATGTATTTCGTTTCGTGTATTTTTGGATATGCATATTCCTGATTGCCGTCATTCACGGCCAAAGATTTTCGTAGTTAGAAATATGACCCCTTACTATTCAATAAATTATACATTTGAGCTATTCACACTTGAACACAATTTCATTGTTTTGTATCGTTAAAGTAATATTTTTGTATTTTCTGAAAAAAAAACGTATACCTAAAAGGTCATAAAACTGCCTGTGATACGAGAAAGCATTAGCTTCTTTCCGAAAGCAAAAAGTCTGCACGAGTTAACAGATTTAATACCAGTTTAGGAAAGTCAGTAATGACGAAATCTCTGGCACAACTCCGCCCGTATTCACTCTGAGGGAGAAGTTGTATCGGAGTGATAACTCCGGAGTGAGTTACCCATCTCTAGTACATACATATAAATTGGTCGCGGTTGGGAGTCCGGATAATCGCAAATCTGTATAATCGAGGTCTTGGTTCGACTAGGTTTGACTGTGTGTCATCAATTTATCAATTTATTTAGTTAATAGTAAATTTTAAATATTTTCGGATTGGTCTTCGAATTAACACATTGTGTTGAAGTACCAACACTTTAAATTCAATAAAATTATTAAACATTTAAAAAAGCTAATGTCAATAATTTAGTTATTGAGACAAATGCATCTTCAAAATTTAAAGCATCTCAGTTTTTTTTTTTTTTTTTGTTAATTGTAGTAAAAACTTTGAGTAATATTTTTTAAACTGTGTTACAGTAGTCTCAAAATAAAAAAGAGTGCGCGTAAGGTTCACATGCGATTGAAGTAAAACTTTTTTGCTATTGTACGAGATGGCATTTAAGTTAAAAATAAATACATCATATAACAATTTTGAGTAATGTTTATTAGTAATATGGTAACACTCGTGATGCACACATTTATTAGTGCCGACCATTATACACATTTATATAATAATAAATTAAAAATTATATATTTACAATAGCATTAAAAATATTTATAATATTTGAAAACAGTAATGTAATTAAAGCTATACTCTAAATACGACATGATTGGTTTGTCAATATAATTAGCATTTACGACTTAAATCTTCATTAGAGAAATGAAGTAATAGCTAATTAATAAATTCTATATTTGTTCACACAGTGGATTATGAAAACAACGTTTAAAGAATTATTGTTTTAACAATTTTACTCATCATGTCAATATTGTGTTTGAAGAACTTCATGTAATTAATATTAACATACATTCATTGATTGGTTGTATTTTTTTTTTTACTTTTTTCCTGACGATATAATCTCATTATTTGAGCAGCTATGAAATCTGCCTTGCATGAAATATTTTTCATTTTAATAACTTCAAAGATTTATAGAAGCTATGATCTATATAGAAATTATTTCGATAAACCTATATTTAGTACACGGCACAAATGTTTTATTTATTTTATTATTTTCATTATAATTATTTACGGGAAACAGGAAAAAATATTCTTTTGATTCGCGAATGTTTTATTAAATCAAGATTTGTACTACGATGTAACCTTAAAATGTTTATTTATCTATGCCAATCTCCTTGTTGATATCGGTACCATAGATAAATAAGCATAAAATGGCGCATATAACGTTGATGCCGGTACGCATACAACGTCAGATCTCTATTCACACGACACAACGGCTATTTCATCGAGAGCGAATAACGTACAGTTCGGGCGCAATTTCCGTTGCAATCTCACAGTTTTACACTCTAGTCGCGCCTAAAGAAGTTTTACTTCAAAAATTGTTTTGTAAAAATTGCTGCAGATCTGCTTTCATTTCGACTTTCAACTCAATTTCCTGATAAATGTTTTCTATATTTATTTATTTTTACACGATTAATTAATTTAGATATTGTACTCTCCCAGCTTACAATAGAGCTCGAGGAGCACAAATAAAGCAATACATTCTCTTTTTATCTTTATAATAAACTATATAGTAAGATTTTATTTATTTTGTACCACTCTTAATTCTCCATTAAATTCAAGAAAAGCGAATATAAATTGGCTATATAAATTAAAACACTACAAAATCAATTGACCTCTAGACAATTTCTTAATGTAAATCAGGAAATCAAATACATATATGTAAATTAAAAAATCATTGAATATAATGATAGTGGAAATATTTCTTTTATATCGTTTTTATAAGAAAAATTTAAAATGAAATATAATATATTAATATCATATTGGGTTGTTGGAATATTCATAATTTATACTTTTATGTAGTATATATTGGAAAATACTGATTGGCCACATTCGGTCATAAATTATATTATTATTTCAATTATGTACTTTGTTATTTAACTTGCTAAAAAGCTGTTGATTTTAATTATCTCCTTTGGATATGTAGCCTGCATAGTAGACTTTGCATGAAATCAATAAATAGTGCTATTTGTTTAATGTTTTATAGTTACAAAAGTTTTTTATGTAGTTGCAGATGGTCAATCATTGGGTCCAGCTGAAGAGGGAAGTACTCGTTACAATGAAATGAGACGCCAACTTGATATGTATAAAGAGGAAATTTTTAAGATTGAAACGGCACGTGAAGACTTAAAATTAAAATCGGAAGAACAAGAAAAGCAAATATCAATTTATAAAAATAAGATAGAAGAACTCCAAGTAAGAATAATTATATATATATATATATATATATATATATATATATATACTAGCTGTACCCGTTCACGCTTTGCCGTGATTTACTTTAAATTAAAAAGTTGAACAAAGATGTGTATTTGTTACATTTAGTTTAACGTTACTACTATTGGTTCAACAATTTGTCTACGAATTTACCTATAAACTTGTTAATCAATCTACCATTTTACCGACTTACCAATTAACCTGTCAACCTATTTACCTATCAACCCGTTTCACATGTCTACCAATTTACCTGTCAACCTGTTTATCCGTCTTGTTAATTGTCTATCTACCAGTTGTCCTGTCTACCATTTTACATATCCTTCAATTTACCTGAATACCAACTATTCAACAAATTACCTTTTCACTAATTTACTTGTCTACCAATTCACCTGTCTATCAATTTACCTGTCTACCAATTTACCTATCGACCTGTTTGTCAATACACTATTTCACCTGTCAGTCAATTTACCTGTCAACTTGTTATAAATGTTTACCAATTAACCTGTTCAATAAGTTACCTGTTGAACAATTTGTCTACTACCTATCAACCTGTTTATCCAATCTACCATTTTACCGGCCTACAATTTTACCTGTCATCTCGTTCTACATGACTATCAATTAACCTGTCAACCTGTTTATTTGTCTACATGTTCGGCTATTTACCAGTTCTCCTCTCTATTATTTTACATATCCTCCAATTTACCTGTCCACCAGTTTGCCTTCTTAAATTCTCTAATTCACCTTATTTATTTACGCATTATAAAAAAATTAAAGCTCAAATTGATTCTACTCTTTAGTTAAAAACGTTTGTATGTGAAAAAGAAAAAGTGTTTAAAGCTGTTTATAGGGTTTTCCCGGTAATTATTCCATTTTTGCTCGCTGTAAGAACCATCCTTGAACTTCAACGAACATATTAAAAAAAGAATTGGCCAAATTGGTCCAGGCGTTGTCGAGTTATGCGCCTACCAACACATTTTTCGATTTATTTTTATATATAAGATATATATATATATATATATATATATATATATATATTAGGGTAGTCCTTAATAGGGACATTTCTGAATTTTCTTGATCCCAGGGGCTCAAATGCTTCCAAATTGATAAAAAAAATTCTTTAGAAGTTTTAGCTCTTAATATTCACTTTTAGATAGAGTGCAATTTCTGTTCTGCAAAGTTTCGAATGGAATTAGCATGGAAAAAATTACAAAGTTTTTAAAAATGTTTTTATATATAACTTGTATAATAGCTTTAATTATAATCACTTGATTATTACATTGCTTACTTTAGGGAGGAGCAATGGAAATTTGTCGTCTTAAAGATGAGGTGGATGCATTAAGAGAAACTAATGCATTGCTCAAATCATATGAATCCACTGTTCAATCATACAAAAAGAAATTAGAAGATCATGGTGATTTGCGACGTCAATTAAAAATTCTTGAAGATAAAAATCTGGAATATATGCAGCAAAACATAGAATTAGAAGAAACAGCCAAGAAACAAATGGCATTAAAAACTCAAATTGAAGTTTATAAAAAACAGGTATGATTGAATTAAATTTTCGTCGTATATATATATATATATATATATATATATATATATATATATATATATATATATCTTATATATAAAATTCTTCTGTAACAATGTAAGTTTCATTAATCCTCCTAAACTATAATTCGGATTTTCATGAATCTTCCTGAAGTTTGTTTGGGAAATTTTTCAGAATGTTTTGATCCATAGAAATATAGTTAGATTGTAGAAATAAATGGAAAAAAAATATAAAAAACCGCTTATCATTGTTTGCCCTTGAAAATATTTAAGGCATAGTTTGACATTAAAAACAAAAGACGACGGCGAAGGCAATATTAAAATATAATAAATTCATGATTAAAAATAAAGAAAATGTAATGTCTACATTATTAATGCCGAAGAGCAGCTGAGATGTGCCAAAAATTAAATTAATATAAGATGCAAATAATATAACATGCGATTGCTTTTGCTTGCAATAATTTTGTTTGCGCACTTTGCGAACAGATTCGCCGAACGAATTCGTGCAAAGAAGACGAGCCATAAGTGATTGCGCTCAAAAATATTCAATTTGCGGTCGTTTTGCCTTACTATACTAAGTCACGATACAAAAAAAATTACTTATTCAAAAAATTATTTAGAAGTTTCATTGTGTCAAAAATTCATATGGTTGGCATTTTGTACGGCTGCTTTTATGGCTTTCTCGGCATTTATTCGATTTTTTTCTCGCCATCGTAGGAACCATCCTTGGACTTCAACGAACATTTTAAAAAAAGAATTAGCCAAATTGGTCCAGGCGTTGTTGAGTTATGCGCTTACCAACACATTTTGCGATTCATTTTTATATATAAGATAATATATATATATATATATATATATATATATATATATATATATATATATATACAGTAAACCCTCGCTTTACGCGGCAAGTGCGTACCGTGCAGTATGGGGACCGTGCTATAAAAAACTCGTATTTAACATACAATTCAGGCTAACTCATAGTGTGTTTTATGAAACCTTACATAGTGCAGTATGAGAACCGTGCTATGAGAGGTTGGTACAAATCGCATCATTTTTATCGTGCTGTATGGAGACCAAGAAATACAACTTGAAGTAGGAGTATTATGGACGAAATGACATGTATGACATTGACACCTTATTCAAAAATTGGCGCGACGCAGTAGTCAGCTCAAACGTGTTCTTAGGCGGCTGTTATATAATCAGGCATGTCTAAAAGATAAAAGTCGATAACAAAACTTACATTAATACCCCTTTGATATCAAGTTACTAGAATCACTCATAGGTTGCGCAAGGAACTTATGGGCTGTTGAACAAAAACCGTGTAATAGGCAGTCCGTGTAGTCGGAGGGATGTCGGATTTTTAGCTCCGTGTAGTATAGGAATCGTGTACCCAGAGTGCCGTGTAAAGCGATGGTCTACTGTATATAAATAATATTATATATAAACAAAACAAACAAATATAAATATAAAGATATAATATAAATATTCGCATGTATATGTTTCAGTTGGCACATGCTAACGAAAAGCTGGAGACAGAAATTTCGAAGTCCGATCGGTTAGAATTTGAAATTGTTGGTTTGAATACGAAAATTAGTGTACTTCAAAGAGAAAAGGAAACTTTACTATCTGAACGAGACTTGCTGAAAGAAACTTGCGAAGAACTTCAATATGGTGCATGTGTTAAAACCGGTATGACTTTACTAACCATGAATATGTAATTATTATAATATTGTACAACAAAGGAACAAAGCATTAGTATCAAAAATGTCATTATCATAATGTAACGAATTACTACATAATAATAATGGTGTTCGAACAGATTTGTGCTGCTTACTTTGCTCAATATCTATTTGCGGATTTTTGAAGACTGTTAATATTTTAATAATGTATAATATGAATTAGAGGTATTTCTTCGCCTAAAAATAGCAATTACTTTATTTATTTTATATATATATATATGATTTAGTAGTTAATTTTGATGTTGAAATATATGAGTGAGTTCTTGAGGGCGATACATCAAACAAAGAAAAGCCAAAGATTTATAAAATAATCTTTATTTCCAAACGTTTCGACATTCAATTTAATGTCATCATCAGTGGATATTACGTTGGTTAGTTACATATAGAGAAGTGTACACAGCACTAGAGATTTGGCACTAACATTTATACAACTAACTTGTCAGCACTATGCATTTTTTTATATAATTTTTTTGTATGATGTAAACAGAAAAATGATAGTTTTATTGAACAAAATGTAAGTAGAATTATGTAATTTCTGCCACGACTTCTGTACTTTGCTAGTACCGAGGCATGTATACTGTATACGATACATGCCTCGGTACTAGCAAAGTACAGAAGTCGTGGCAGAAATTACATAATTCTACTTACATTTTTGTTCAATAAAACTATCATTTTTCTGTTTACATCATACAAAAAAATTATATAAAAAAATGCATAGTGCTGACAAGTTAGTTGTATAAATGTTAGTGCCAAATCTCTAGTGCTGTGTACACTTCTCTATATGTAACTAACCAACGTAATATCCACTGATGATGACATTAAATTGAATGTCGAAACGTTTGGAAATAAAGATTATTTTATAAATCTTTGGCTTTTCTTTGTTTGATGTATCGCCCTCAAGAACTCACTCATATATATATATATATATATATATAATATATATATATATATATATTAGGCTGTCAAATATCTCCCTTCCGCTTTTTTGCTCTTGGTTTATAATACAAAAAGGCGGAAGCGAGATATTTAACACATATATATATATATATATATGTGTGTGTGTAGATGTGCTAGCGGATACAGTTTCCAAGGAGCTTATATCTCCAGCCACTAAAAGATTGATGGTAACGGATAATAAAATTTCAAAAGAAGAAGGCGACCATGCAGCTATGCAGGTATTTGTTTTATATTTTCTTGTTTCTAAATCTTTTTTAATTAGGAGTATTACTAGGTTTTGCTGGATGAATCTAATGTAAGAATAGATCATTTGAGATGTCAGCTTCGAGAGGCAAACCAGAAAATCCTCGAGTTGCAAAGCTTAGTTCAAGGAAATCAACTTGAAGTGGATGTGAAGTTGAAACAGTCGGATGAACTTGATAAAGACAAAAGTATTTAGTTACAACTGGTTTATTCAATTGCCAATTGTTTAATTACATCTTTCATTCAGGTCAGCGCTTGGAAGAATCTTTTTCACAAATTGTTGCATATCGTCAAAAGATCACAACATTGCAAGAAACTCTGTCTCAGAAAGACGCCGAGATATCAGCAGCTGATGAAAAATACCGACGGTGCATAGAAAAGGCTAAGCAAGTGATTAGAAGTATAGATCCTAAATATGGTAACATATTTCTATGTGTTATTACATTGTGTTAAAATTTTGTTGCTATAATAATTTATAACTAATTTTAGGTAATTATTTAGGTGCAAATGCAAATACTGCTAAAATGTCGTCGATTGAAATGGAAACTAGAATCATAGTATCAGCATTTCATCGATTGGGATTAGTTTGTCACAGAGAAGTATTGGATCAGAGATTTGCACAAATTAGTCAGAGTCAGAGCTTTCTATCTAGGCAACGCCAACCTATATGCCGCAAATCTATTGAAAATTACAGAAATAAATAAGAATTACATGGTCTTAGCATGGAAAGGCTTATATCATAGTTGTATTTGTTTAAGTATGTTTTTTGTTTTTGTTACAATGACCTCATATTCCTTTCAATTTTGATTTGAATATATTTTGTTGTAGTAAATTGACAATTCCTTTAATTTTGCAGACATCACTCTTGTTTCATATAATATTATGAATAATCTTACTTTTTGAACTGTATATTTGCTTGACAAAAATTGAGTAAAAGATTTTTGCGATTTAAAATTTTCAGTAAAATATTTTTGCAATTTTTGTTGCAATGGCAACCGCACTGAACTGAAAACTGAATTCCATGTCTGTAATATTTTTTATTTTGCAACTTAGCCAAACCTAAACTACCCTTTGCACTAGCTACAATTTTATCATCAAGCGTGAATTTCCTTCCATTCAATAGTTTAGTATCTTCTCTTAGCCGACTTAATATATAATTATGAGCACTATTGTTCAATGTCAGCGGGAGATCAGCATGTTTCAAACTTGCTTGTGATTTCTTTCCAAATGTTTTTCCAAGCTTATTTGGCTCATATCAATACTTGTGTTTAGTAAACTCGTTTTATAACTACTTTCAAGAGAAAAACTGCTGATAAAAATCAATGTTAAATTATTTATTATAAACCTTTATTATTAGTGCAAAAATAATTCTTAAAAACTTACCTTTCAGTGAGTTGGTTAGTCTGACGGCAATTTTATTTTTCAATATTTATAACCTTAAAATTCCTAGCATTGTTAAATGTCTCAGTTATTATGCTATAATAAAAACTTGTATCTGACTAATAGTACTAATAGATGCAAGTATTTTGAAAAATGCATATTGATAAAAATACTTACTTATTGTTGAAGGCCTGTAAATATTATTAATCATTTTACATACTACATCGATTCTAGTTGGAAATGCACAACTATTGCGTTTTTCTTGGTATTTCTGCATTATTAAACTCTGCAATTCGATATAATAATTATTTTATAGGTTTAACAAGCGTTTATTATATTGTTGAGTTTTGACTCACCAAATCACTGACAAGAAATTTCGTTCAATGGCGCATTTTGAATTATTTCTGGAAAATTCGATATTTACGAAAACAAGCGCTACTAGCGAGAGCAGCTTTAACTAGAAATACAGACGTTTGTTCGGAGATTACCGGCCATGACCCCATATTCATAGTTTTGTCGAAATTTAAATTTAAAATTGGCGCTTTTTGTGGCGCTACGTTAGAATTTGTTGAAAACGTTTTAGTTCTTTTTATTTTGAGACTCCAATGGAAACACATGGCAAAAAGAAAGACCCCTTCAAGAAGTGAGTATTTTAGGATTTGTGGTGCAAGAAATATTTCGTATTCGGTGACTCCTAAAGTAACATACGGTTTGTGCAAGTGCAAACTTAGTTTCAGTTGTCAACGCGTTCCTTGGCATCGTACAAAAGTTCTTGTTTGAAAATGGAAAAATGGAGTGCCCTTTAGCAGTCACGAGCAGCTAATCGAATGACATTTGAAAGGTATGATAAGAGGCATTCAGTGTACACTTTTATTATATTGCTGGTGGATTTTCGTTGTCGATTTCTCTAAATTATTGACGTCTTCATTAACAATGAATTTAATCGGCCATTAATATTACAATTGTAGTAGTTCACTTTTGTTGTATTGATTGAGCAGTAATTATCATAAATATATGAAATATTTGTACACAATCAAATAAGTCATATGTCGATTATTGATTTTGGTACATAGATTTTGTATGTTTTTAGCGGCCGTAAAATTTTCAGTAAAATATATTTCCTAGCTGTATTTCACGTCGTGTGTTATGGCGGTTACTATAGGAATAATTTGCTATGCTTGCAAAATAATTTTACTGAAAATTTTGTGTTAGCGGTTATCATATAACCGTTGCATAGCAATGGTTACCTAAGCAACCGTTGCTTTTGGCAAAGAATAATTAATAGCCATATACAAATTTTAAATCAGTTATAAACATTTAATTACTATTGATTAAACACATCATTTATGTTGCATATTTCTTTTTTTCAATTGAAAATAGTTACCTCTAACATTTTAATGCAAAATTGTGACTACTGTTTCCCTGGTAGTATAAATGGATTTGGTACGAAAAATATTAAATTCCATACAAAATCTTGTCAAAATCGTTTTGATGTATTAGGAGAACAGTCACATTTTTACATTTGACAGCACGTTTTTGTTGCTGCAAGTTTCCGTTGCTATGCAACGGATTTTAAATCAATTATAAACATTTAATTACTATTAATTAAACACATTATTTATTTTGCATATTTCTTTCTTTTAATTGAAAATAGTTACCTCTAACATTCTAATTCAAAATTGTGACTGTTTCCCAGGTAGTATAAATGGATTTAGTACGAAAAATATTGAATTCCATACAAAACCTCGTCAAAATAGTTTTGATGTATTAGGAGAACACTCACATTTTTCCATTTGACAGCACGTTTTCAGCGACACAGGACCGTCTGTTGAAATTTTAGGGAAAAATATTTTGAACTTAAATGGTTGAATGAATTTTAAATAAAAAGTTTAATTTATTATTTTGAGATATTTTAACAAGTTTTGGTAAAGGGATATTTATTTTAATTTTAAAGGTAATATTTATTTAAATTGAGCTATTACTGTAACCGTGCATAGTGTCACACAATTTATCTTGCATATTTACTATAATTATTATTTTTAACATTAAACCACCACTCCTTCTCCTCTTTTTTGCTGCTTTTTTCGCATTTTTTCCATTTTTGGTGTTATTTTTTATGCATATTGTGGATTTTGGGTACAGTTGCTGTACGATGCAATTGCTTCTGCCAGGACTCCCGTTCGCAACCATGCGTCGTCTCGTCTGGACGAGACTTTTCCATAAAAATTTTTGACCAAAAGTTTTTTTCCCAATATTTTTTGTACCAAAAATATTTTTCCCAAAATATTTTTGACAAAAATTTTTTTGACCAAAAATTTTTTTGACCAAAATTTTTTTGACCAAAAATTTATTTTCCTAAAATTTTTTGGACTAAAATTTTATTATCCGGACTACCGATAATCCGGACCTTCGATTTTCCGGACTTCCGATTATCCTTACTTCCGATTATCCTTACTTCCGATTATCCGGACTTCCGATAATCCGGACCTTCGATTTTCCGGACTTTCGATTATCCGGACTTCCGATAATCCGGACCTCCGATTATCCGTACTTTCGATTATCTGAACTTCCAATTATCCGGATCCTCGATTATCCGGACTTCCGATTATCCGGACCTTTAATTATCCGGACTTCCAATTATCCCTACTTCCGATTATCCGAACTTCCGATTATCCGGACCTTTGATCATCCGGACCTTTGATTATCCGGACTTCCGATAGTCCGGACCTTCGATTTTACGAACTTTTGATTATCCGGACTTCCTATTTTACGAACTTTCGATTATCCGGATTTCCGATTATCTGTCCTTCCGATTATCCGTCCTTCGATTTTCTAGACTTCCGATTATCCGGACCTGCAATTTTCCGGACTTTCGATTATCCGTACTTCCGATTATTCGAACTTCCGATTATCCGGACCTTCCATTTTTCGGACTTCCAAATGTCCGGACTTCCGATTATCCGGACTTCCGGTAATACGGACTTCCGATAATACGGACTTCTGATAATCCGGACCTTCGATTATCCGGACTTCCGATTATCTGGACCTTTGATTATCCGGAATTCCGATTATCCGGACTTTCGATAATCCGGACCTTCGATGTTCGGGACTTTCGATCATCCGGACCTGCATATGTTATTAGTCTTTTGACTATTTTCCTATCATATATGCAATATGTATTATTTTGTTATTATTATTGTAAATATGGTTTTTAGTGATAATTTTTACCATGATTAAAAATTCATTTATAAGTTTTTTACTTTTTTATTAGTTAGTATTAAATATAAGTTTATGTATTTATATCTTAAGATAGTTTTACATGATTATATATATTGTATAGAAATATGTATGTATTGTATTGTATAGAAATATAAAGGAAATAAATAAATCTTTAAAAACAAAACTTGGTAAATTATTTATTGTAATTTATAATACTAAATTATAAAATATTTAATTTAATCAAAACTAAATAATTATAATATTTAATAAATTAATATATGTGTTAATGTATTATAACTTTGTACCTGCTTATGATTAATAAATAATTATTGGACATTAACTTATTTTTCAAATACTTGATGATTAATATTGTGTTATTTTTTACAGTTTAACAAATATTTTATTTACAAATATAATTTTCAGACTCAGTAAAATATGTTTGAAAAAATCTGGGGATAGTAATCCATGGATTTAGCTTGATAACATACTCAAGTAAAATATGTTTAAAAAAATCGTGAATATGGTTTTAACCTGATATCATATTCAAATTGGGTAAAATAGGTTTAAAAAAATTCGTGGATAATTAACCATGGATAGTTATTCACCCCCAAGAATTAAGTAAAATACTTAGTAGGTTTCTTGGAATTCGAACTCGAAACCTAAAACAAGAACGACTACCTTCGCAACCGAAGCCATTTAACGATCTCGTCTACTTCACCGCTGGTTAAAAGTTAGTTGAATTCGGTTCATGTGTTAACAATTACTTCACATACCTCCCACGCCCTTTAACTTGTCGAATAAAAAACTCCTTCGGATTCGAACCAGCATCCTTCGGATTAGAGTCTAGTTGAGCGCTCTAACCGATTCGGCCACGACGACAAAGCTTTTCCGAAGGCTAATATTGGAAAGACATTTTGCGAGTCCATCCGACGATCGACCATCATGATTCAAGTCAAGGTCACAGTGGGATGATATGAAAATATTAAATTTTCACCCTGGGGGTTGAAAGTGAGCTCATTCGATTCTGTGGGTTCGTGCGAATTTCAAACGGAGGGTTACAGGGGGGGGAAATTTTGTCCGTTTTTCGCTCAGGAGAGCAGAAAATCGACTTTTTGTAAATTTCACGTGTTTTCTATGGGAATTTTTTGAAAAGTTTTTGCGTTTTGAGTCAGATTATGTGCTGACCTTAACGACATGTTCGAGGTTCTTGATATGGATCCCAATGACGCAGTCAAA